TTTTGCCAATTCCTTAGCTATTAGCTTAAAAAAAAGGGAGACAATTGATCTGACAGTTCAACTTCTATTGACTTCAATGGAGTTCACATTTGACATCCAAATTTTTACTATGTTCAGCTGAATCTCCCCAAACTAAACCCAGGTGTGTTCGGCTCATCCCTACTGCTGAACATACTGCTGGGAAGGGATGCAGGAGAAGCTGCTATGATAAATTACTACTGGCATAGGGTAGAAAGGGGATGCTGAGAGAATACCTTCAACAGTGATTCTGGGGTGAATTCTGAGTTTGAATTACTCCACAATGTTCGCTGCTACAGACCTCAATAAGGGTTTGTTTTTTTGTTATTTCTCTACTGGTTAAGAACATGTTAACACTTGATATTCATATCCTGGCCATAGATTCATTTTGAAATGGATATTTTAGTTTTTAGTGGTCGCTGGCAACTTGAATCACTTGCTGACTTCTTATATCTCTTGAGAACTTTGCTGGCAAGAAATTTGAGCCAGAGTTTCCAGTTTTGTCCAACTATGTTTGATCTTACAATGCCAAAAATGTGTCATTCTGCCCATGAAAGCTCCATAATGTATAGCTAACAAATAGTTGGGAATCCAACTGCAAGCATGACAACTTTGTTGTAGTCTTGCGGGAAAGGGCGGCAACTACAGGGAGATCTCACCACAGAGGTCTCTGAGACACTGAATTTAATTAGTTTCAATGGGATCTATGTGCTCAGTATAGCAAGGAAAGCAGCATGCACATACATTCATCCTGGATTATTTTCAGTGTGCCTGATCATGTCATTCCCACTGAAATGAGGTTGATGTGATATTGAAATCAATTATATCCTCTTAGCATTGTTCCCATAATCTGTAGTACCTTAAGCACCATTTAAAGTCTCCCCATCTAAACAAACATCAGACAATTGCTGTACTATGCATGATTTGGGATAACAACCTTGTCTTGTGTTGCGGTCTATAACAAAATGTTCACCTTGTCTTTTCATAGGAATGTTCCAGGATGTAGTCACAATAAATTCAACACATTGCACATTAAAAAGCACAAGTGTGTATGTTCCACAACATGTATAATCCTTTAGTTATTGACTGTATTAAAATATATAACATTTCTGATTCTGCACCTAATGCATTGGGTACATATGAAATTCTCATTTATACAACGATGTCGCTCCACTTCCTTAAACTGAACCTCTCCAAAACCGAGTTTCTTGTCTTCCCCCCCAGCCCGGACACCACCCCCCATTGACTTCTCCGTCACATCCAACAATGCCACCATCAAACCCGCCCCGCAGGCCAGAGTACTTGGTGTCATTCTGGACTCCAACCTATCCTTCCAGCCCCAAGTCCAATCTTTAACAAACTCGTGCAGACTCCACCTCCGCAACATCGCCAAAATACGCGCGTTCCTAACCCCAGAAACCACTAAACAGCTCATCATATCACGACTCGACTACTTCAACTCCCTCCTCACTGGCCTGCCTCGCCGCTGGCTATCCCCGCTTCAGTTGATCCTGAATACGGCTGCCAGACTCATTCACCTTTCCAACCGCTCCATTTCCGCCACCCCCCTCTGCCAATCCCTCCACTGGCTTCCGATTGCGCAACGGATCAAATTCAAAATCCTAACACTGACGTACAAAGCTGTCCCCCATTCTGCCACGTACTACATCACTGACCTAATATCCAAGAACCGCCCAGCACACACACTCCGCTCCTCACAAGACCTCCTTCTCTCTAGTTCCCTGGTCTCCTCCTCCCATGCCCGCCTCCAAGACTTCTCCAGGGTGTCACCCATCCTCTGGAACTCCCTGCCCCAACCCATCAGATTATCACCTACTCGCCTCTCCTTTAGGCGCACCCTGAAAACCCATCTCTTCAGGGAAGCCTACCCCACCCCCTGCTAACCTGCCGACCTCCTCCACTCTTCCTACCACTCCATCCCCCACAGCTATCTCCTCCTGTGCCACCATCCCCTCCCTCCTAGATTGTAAGCTCGAAAGAGCAGGGCCCTCGATCCCCCCGTGTTTTGCATTGTATTGGTATTGTTCTGTCACATGTTCTGTCCCCCTTTGTAATGTACAGCACTGAGCGAACCATTGGCGCTTTATAAATACTGTATAATAATAATAATACAACTGAGGAGCCAAGACCCACCATTACTGTTAGACTAGGCAACAAGTAGCAGCACTGCACAGACATTTTCTACACAGCTTGCAAACACCACTAACAGCTGTAATCAAATAAAGTGTTAGACATGTCCAATATTTTGGCTCCTTGCAACAATTGTGGCAAGCTACAGTCACTAATACTTATCACAAAGACCACAATCTTTGATTAGTTACTAGCTATAGTTATTGGTTACATAATGGCACAGTCGAGACATATGCTATGTAACAAAATAACATTACCCATATATTGTACACTACAATTGTTGTAGAGAAATTAGTTGTACATGTTTTTAAAAGGTTGATGTATATACATTTTAAATCCATACAATGTTTGCTTTACAAACAAGCCTTTAATAAAAGACAAATGATTTCCAGAGTACTGTGTAATAGCTAAAGGAACATTATAGCAGTAATCAAGTCCTTTCACTGAAACCTAGAACTAAGCCATCTAACAAAGGATCACTGCAATGTAAGATTCACTTGGGTGTATATTCATCTTGATTTAAAGATCTCTATAAACAGCAAAGGGTAGGGTAGGGTAAACATATATAAATATGTGAAAGGGAGACTAAAGCTTTAACTGCTTTAACTGCTATGGTTCACTTCTTGTTGAAATTATATCTAAAGGCAAAACCTTTTTTTCTGGACATAGTAAGGAAAGCCTAACACAACTGTACCTTTAGTATGGTGGTCCATTCATTAATCCCTCCACACCTCTAAGTGTGGTTTGCTTGGTAAAATCCCTGTCTGCAGTGAAAACATTCTGGCCAGGTTCCCTTCTTAAAGTGGTTGTAAACCTCAGACATGAAGTGTGTGCTTCTCAATCCAGAGCACCAAGTGTCATTTCTGTCTGCTGCCCCTTCCTCTGTTATCAGCTCTCCTCACTAATGTATCATTAGCTCTCTATCCTCTAATTTTCAGAGTGGAGAGATCCTGTATGAATTTTGCACTTTGAATGGATGCAGGTGACAGACAGCTATAGATGAACGGGTACAACTTTTGTAGGATTATTTATTTCATCTCTATGTATCACCTGAGGCCAGTCACATCATTAGGTAAATGTAAGGGTTTACAACCACTTTAATGTGTAACTAAAGTTAAAAAAAATTAAAAACTGTGAGCAGGCAGGCTCTTCGTAGCTGAAGACAAACTATGTCTCTTCTGCTACAAAACTTACCTGCCTGTTCAAAATCTTGTTTAGAATGTGCACTGAGCTGTGACTGTGGAACTGAGTGTACATTCTCAGGCATGCATCAGGCACCCAGAGGAAGCCAGGGAGAAAATGTTGGTGCTGGTAAGGAAGCTTGCAGATGTCACAATGCTGAAGCAAAGGTTCCGATTTAATGTGTTTGTTTCCCTGCAGTCCGATTTATTCTTATTTGTGAGCCTTATGGGTGATGTTGCTAAATGATCACAAAGGTCATTCTGCCCTGACATGTTCGTTTTGAATGTGTCACAGTGCCTTGCAATAAGCATGTTGCTATGGCAGAAATGCTAGCCTAGATCATATATTGTATGCCTCCTACTTACCATCTCCTGTGCTGACGAAGAAGGAAAACTCTTGCTGTGTTCCCGTCTTCATTTTCCAATTAAATTTATCAAGGGCTTTCTCATCCCCACTCACTGCAGCCTTAGCCAGCTGGGTCATATCCCTGAAAAATCCCCAGAGGAGTCACACAGTTTCCTGTACATGCATACCAGCCTATCACAGATCTACTTGACCACTGTTAAGTATACACATATAAGTACCTTTTCTGAAAATATGGTCTTGGGCATAATTAAAGTCAATATGTTTTACTAAATAAAAAGTTGAATCCACATCTATCAGGGTAGGTAGCATGTACCTTCATACATTAGCAAATGTCATGTGTGTGCCACAGGAGCACCCAAGCTGCCAGTGATTCCCAGTTTAGCTTCAAATTGTAGCTATGCTTTTCTTCCCCATCCTATAAAGCAATACAGATGCTTCATCAGTCTATAGAGAGGTTCTAGGATTGCTCTATGAAATGTAGAGGCTGCCAGCCAAACAGGATCAAGGATCAGTGTGCACCTTTGAAGAGGTGATGGTTAAATTTAAAGGTACAAGCAGATACACCTTACTGTTACTTTTATTGTCTTGTCTTTTCACTGGGCAAAAAGCTAGCTTACATTAAGTATAAATGTAAATGGTTTATTGTGAAGGCTGGAATCAAATGACTGCTAAAGAAAATATACAAAGAACTACAAGCGCAACAAGATAGGCCTGAGTTGCACTCTCTAAATAATCTTTAATGGTGTGGTGCTTTTATGACCCCATAGTCAAAGCTAAACTACTAAAGGAAGGGAGAAGACACATCTTTGGGAGTCATTGGGAGTTATTTACTAAAACTGAAGAGTGCAAAAATCTGGTGCAGTTCTGCATAGAAACCAATCAGCTTCCAGGTTTTATTGCCAACGCTTAATTGAACAAGCTGAGCTTAGAAGCGGATTAGCTACCATTCACAGCTGCACTTGATTCTGAGTGCACCTGATTTAGAAAATCTACCCCATTGACTATTTATGGCACATGTGTGCATTTAGGTAGAATCTGTTATATCTGTTATAAAGAGAATCTGTACTGTTAGCTCCTTAACTGACAATAAAATGAATGATAATACAATACAATTTTATATGTGGTTATTTTGAGTATTTTAACTGAGAGTTTTCTTGCTAGCCATAACAGGACACTTCATGTTCTCCATTCTGTATGTCCATTCACTCCATTCTCCATCTTATCAAACCAAAAAGTAATCTACGTATGTAAGACAATGGTTGCATGACTTACTCTTCAGGAGCTACTGGTTTAAAGATGCAGTGAGTCAATGACTTGTGGTATTCCAACTTCAGTAAGGGGGCACCCTGAACACGACCTCGCTGATCCAATCTCCATACAATCAGCAGACCGTTCTAAACCAGAAGTATAATTATTGTTACTGCAAATTCAAATTAAATTATGTTTATTTTACTTCTAAAGAAAACCTGTACAGTACATACACACACACACACAGACAGATTAATATATGCACACACTCTGAGTTAAGCTCACAATATATAATCTGTAAATGATCAGAGTTCAAAAAAGCAGTTTTCTCCAGGATTGGAAACTCCTGGATTCAGATTTGGAGCCCAGAGGCTTTGCAGAGATATGGGAGGCATGGAGCCTTTAGCCCTGTGTCCCCTTTTTTCAGGAAACCAGCATCCTGATTGTGCACATTTAGTATAGGAGCGGTTTATGGTTTAGGGCTCTTTCCCCTGGAGACAAGCTGCTGCACAAGCAGTGTGTGTGTGAACAGACATTGGGAGTGTGTCTGTTATGGCCTTAAGGAGAGGAAATCTGACCAGGCCGCTGCCTAAGAGACTGTGTGTAATTAGGCAGGAGCCTGTGTAGCCCCAAGCTAGGCATTTGGTTTGTCACAAGGCTGAATGCAAAAACATCCTGCATGGGTAACCTTCTGTGTGAGGTTTTGAACATTACTTTTGAACAAAAGTGGGCAAAAGCCATGAAATGTACTTCATTGGCTGGATTGAAGGTGCTACATTTGAGTGAATCCACACAAGGTGTATTATAACCCAGAGCCTCAGAGCTGTAAGGTCACACTACTACACACAGCACCAGGGTGAGGCCCATATCTATTGTGGCTGAATGTCAAGTCTACTACTGCACACTACATTAGCTTTGGTTACATTTCAGGCATCCGAATGCCATAGCTGCCCTAATACCCAAGCTAGAGGTCTAATACACTACCCACTCTGTAGTATTTGCTACTCACCAAGTCTCCAGTAAGCAGACGGCTGTTGTTTACGCTCCACACCAGCAATGTGATCTCTGCGCCGTGTGTTGGTGGCATTGTGTGAAACTCTTTATCCTGCTCGTTAAAAATGATCACCTCTCCCATGACCCAGCCCATGGCAAGAAGATGTTTTGTTGGGTGCCAGGTAAGCAAAGTAGGCTGGTAAGACCTCTCCACATGTGAACCAGTGACATGTTCACCCTGTACACGACATTACAAAGGAGATATTACAAGCCATAAAATCAATAAGTAGTGACAGGTACCATTAACAAGATGACATAATTTTACATGACCTGCTGATCTGACTAAAACTATTTTCTTTGCTTTTTTAATAATGGATTTTTTTGCTAGTTGATAATAATGCCACAGAACTATGGCACATATAGCCTTTTTTAGCCTTGGTATCTTCAACTAGGATGATTGAGTATGACCCTACACAAGTCTCAGCGGGCTCAATGTGCTGGCATAGCCAGTGCAGAGAATAATAATTTCTTCCGAAGACACTGTAAACATTGAAAATGGCCGTGGCTTTGTTAGTGTGGTAAGCAAACAGATGGGATTGGGGTTTAGTATAGATGAGTAAAAGAAGGGCTGGGAAGTGTGGGTTAGGTTTGGTGCTGTTAAATTTGTGTTATAGTCTTAAGCAGGACATACATTATATAGATTTCTTTCCTGCAATGATGGGTTGAAGGAAAGACAATTGCTTGATTCACCCATCAACACAGTCAGTATTGATGGGGGAATTCTTCCTGCAGCGCTATTGTGTTCAGCTGGTTGGGAGCCTTCCCTGCTGACAGAACACAATGATCACTGCTGGCGGCTATAGCCGCCAGCAGTGATCAAAAGAAAAATCCAACAGGCAGGTTGTCCTGAAGTTGCGACTTCAGTACAACCAGTCAACCTATAGATAGATTGAATCTCGGCTGGTTCTGGCTGAACCTGTCATGATTCGATCCATCTATGATCATCTTTACACTTACCTGTCCCCAAACAAGCATAATATCCACTGCATAATCTCATCAGTAGCAGCCGTTTGTCAGAATCTTCTGTGCTGGATCCATGCATACACTCTGCGTTCTTATTCAATCTAAAGGGAAGTTCTAGAGTATAAGCTTGTCTTCGGACCTTTTCACCATAGAACTGAATGAGAGTGCAGAGCTAGGCACAGAAGATTTTGACAAGCAGCTGTGAAGCACTGTTAAGGTTACATAGCTGATGTCTTGCTGGATTGGAGACAGGCAAGTATATGACTGGGAGACTATGCCCTATGAATCTGCACTGCTGTGTCAAACATATCACAGAGCCTGCAATCTGAACTACAAAGGTACTGAAAGGAGGAGTTACAGGAGGCAGAGGAATCACTGCTTGCAGGCATAAGGTACCATGGGATTTGTAGTCCTTAGAAATTAAAAATTAAACAGCAAAGAAGATGCAAAGCATGCAGGGAATCCAAAAAGTTGTGGGAAGAGATGGCCAGTAGACATGCGGCACTCTCAACATGAAAGGAGGTTTTTAAGTAAGCTTATATTGTTTTGTCAACAATAACTATTGTTTGTATTGTTGTTACAAAGCTGATCTTATAAAATAAAAGTGTATTCTGTGACTACAGATCTCCTTTAACACAACATGTTAATCTGTGATGCAATATATATTAATACAATGCACAAGAATGTGTGAACAGGTCCTTGAGCTGTTTGCAGGCTGTGGAGTATCAGTGAACAGTGTTATAGAAGCAGGAAGAAAAGGATCCTCAGAAATCTGGAGTTCGCAATGAAGACCACTGTTATGGTTGCAAACCAAAGAAATTTGTAGTTATTTTCTGAATTTTTATATTACATTCTATTCTTTCCATAGCAATGTCTAATGTGAATTTAAAAAAATATGTGCTTCTATTTAATAGGCTACAAAAGGTAGTCAGTCCCTAAACACTCGGTACAGTATTCAGGCCCATCCAGTAGCAGCCTCCCAGGCACACTAATCCTGGGAGGCAAGTACTGCTCCTAGATGGCCCCATGTACCAGGGCCTTAATCTGATCATACATTATACAATTTTCTTGTTCAATTTCCTTTAGATTTACCTTCCACTATGTAGTGCAAGGACCTGCCTGACTGCACACGAATTGAAAGCGTTTAGGTTTAAACTCATATTATATACTGTAGTTTTGGTAAATCTAAAGGGAAATTGTATAAGAAGATTGTATAGGGCAGTGATGGCGAACCCGTGGCACGCGTGCCACAGCCGGCACGCCGAGCCTTATCTGTGGGCACGCCAGGAGAATACCGTATTTTTCGCTCCATAAGACGCACTTTTTTTCCCCCAAAAAAGGGGGGAAAATGTCAGTGCGTCTTATGGAGCGAATATAGAGCGGCCGGTCCGGTATTTCCACCGCCGCCGTGTCAGAATACCGGGCCGGCCGCTCAGCTCTGCAGTGGGACCGTACCTGTCCCTCTATCCAGCGGCGCGCTGTCTTCCCGGCTTCTGTAGTGTGCGTGACAGCCGGGTCCCAAGTGCGCATGCGCAAGAAGCAGTGCTCTTTGTGAATGGTAAGGCGGTACCTGGGACACATGACAGATCCCAGAAGCCGCCGGACCAATCACAATCATCCCTGTACTGTGTCCGCAGTCTCTGGTCATCCCTGTACTGTGTCCGCAGTCTCTGGTCATCCCTGTACTGTGTCTGCAGTCTCTGGTCATCCCTGTACTGTGTCCGCAGTCTCTGGTCATCCCTGTACTGTGTCCGCAGTCTCTGGTCATCCCTGTACTGTGTCCGCAGTCTCTGGTCATCCCTGTACTGTCCGCAGTCTCTGGTCATCCCTGTACTGTTAATTAGTTTGCACTACTGTACGAGTTGTTTTTTCTAAACCAAAAGCTCGATATTCAGGTTTCATTGCAGTGTTGGCACTTTGAAAGAAATAAGTTGGTTTTGGGTTGCAGTTTGGGCACTCGGGCTCAAAAAGGTTCGCCATCACTGGTATAGGGTTTCATCTAATTTACAAAATTCTCTTTTTCTTCCTTTGACACTTAATAGGGGGTCCAACACAGCGTCACAGGTTTGAACTCATATTATATACACTGTATTGTCAAAAGTATTGGGACACCTGCCTTTACACACACATGAACAGAAGGGGAACCTACCAGTTCACTGTAAACGTCCACACAACCTCCTGTCAACGAGCTGATAGAAGCCACAGCCAGCAGAGCATGTTGACTGTGCCAAGATATGTTCAAAGGGGATGCTGCAGGGTTCGGGGCTTCTATCCGATGGTCGAAATACACTGCCATGGCAAATGAACCTTCCGCAAGACCAGACCTGTGTAACACAGATATTACAGAGTATTAAAAATAAATGTTGCCACCTATTAATAGCTGATCTATTTGGATATATGGCAGGTGCACTTTTCCATCTAATATGGTGGATGCACCTATCTATCTCATCTCATACAACCAAATATATGCACGGTACAGCATTACAAAGCCATCATTTGTAGTCTTCAAGCTTCTACAACACTGTAGCTGTTGCAGTTGTGTCACAATAAACCAATTAATGGAAAGCTGTACTAGAATATGAAGGATACCATTGCTGACCACATTCTGGAAAAACTAGTTGCATTAAATACTCACAACAAATAAGCATGCAGCTAGAAAAGTCAGAGCTCCTTATCTGCATACTTGTTTAAAGCAGGTGTAATAATGTCTCTGCATCAATGTTAAAGCCGGCAGAATGATTTGTCCTGTGAAACTGCAAGTACATTTGTTTTGTAAGAATGGGGGCAAAAACAAATGTTATTGGGCTATTTTCTATTGATATTGCTATTGGGGCCCTATGTGGCAGCCTCCCTAGTGGTCTGATTATGTCAGTATTTCTGTGCTCAAAGCAGTACATTTTTTTGCATGGAAATATGTATTTTTTTTTTGGGCCTGGAATTGTAGGCCTGGAATTTTTAGGAATAACTCACTGAAATCTGTCCGAACAAGAATCTAGTAAACATCCCGGGTATGTTAAAATTTGAAACACGAAATCATAAATTATAATATAATAAATAATCATAAAAAATAATAATATAATAATAATAAATTTAATTCAATATTATAATCAAACCAAAAACACTGAGATTTGAAATATAGCGCCAAGTTCGCACATCACTGAGCAAAGTCGCAAAATTGTTTTCAGTGTCTGATGACAAATTTCCCCACGAATCATTATCACTGAATTCTGCAAGTGGTTCTGATTTACTATCGCTGTTCTCTAGCTGGTCTAAAACCGCTTTTGACCTAAAGGGACGCTTTTTGGACGCCATGAACGTTTCTCAGTTTCCAGGCAGAAAGAACAGTAAAAATGCAGGCAGGGCACAGGACAAAGCACTCGGGACAATATGTATGTGAAATGGTTTGATACAGTAATGTAATACTATGTGATTTTAGTGTACTAAGTGAATGTCACTTTTTCACATTTTTACATTTCCCGCCGTTCCGTCCCCGTACGTCCTGTCGTCGCAGGGAACAAAAAGCCAGAGGAGATGGCCGGGGACGCTGCAGGAGGGACATCGCGGAAGCGCAGGACAAGGTAAATGAAGAAGAGATACCGGAGCAACGCTGCAAGGTATTCCCGAGTGTAGCTCGGGGTTACCGCTAGTGGTGCTGAAACTTTACCCCGAGCTACACTCGGGAATACCGCCAGGGAGGTTAAGGAACGAAAGGTCTAAAATGTAGAAGACCTGTGTTCTAGACCAGGGCTCAACAAATCCCAGGCACTAGGTTGCCATGGCAACTAGAAATTGCATCCTGGCACCTGGGTTCACACACTGCCTCCAACTGACTTGACAATGCAAAATTTATCCCATTGACTTCAATGCAAAAACGCCTCCTATTGACTTCAATGCAAAAACTCCTGTCAATATCAATCCTTTGTGAACACTTATCTCCACATGTCACTCTACTCTCTCACTTGCGAGTCTGGAACGCACTGCTACAAACTCACACAGGACCCTTTTAGTAATGGCACTCAAAACTTAATGTGTGTGGATCGCATCTGTGTGAACCATCTCAATAATAATTAGCCTGTCATGCGAATCTGTGCATTTGAAAACGCATGTGTGAACCAGGGTGGCTCCATTCACACTGCAGAATCACTGTGATTGCAAAACGCAGGTTCAGGTGCCATTATTTTCAATGGCACCTAAAAAGTGGAGCGCTTTTGCCATGTTTGTCGCATGGCAAATTGCATCTCGTGAAGCTTGTCGCCCAAAAGTTGCCTTGCGCCAGGCGCGGACAACCCACGCAGCACTAAAAAAAAACAAAAAAACTGGTTCCTAACTTTTTTAGCTGCTCCTAGATTAAAAGCAAATTTGCCAAGCCTGTTCTAGACTAGATCCTTGAATTCATAGGTCCCTAAACACTCGGTACAGCATTCAGGCCCATCCAGTCGCAGCCTCCCAGGCACACTAATCCTGAGAGGGAAGAACTGCTCCTAGATGGCCCCATGTACAAGGGCCTGAAGCTGCCCATACATTATATACATTATATAATTTTCCTGTTCAATTTCCTTTAGATTTACCTTCTAATATGTAGTGCAAGGACCTGCCTGATTGCACACAAATTGAAATCGTTTAGGTTTGAACTCATATTATATACTGTAGTTTTGGTAAATCTAAAGGGGAAATTGTATAAGAAAATTGTATAGGGTTTCATCTATTTTGCAAAATTCTCTTTTTCTTCCTTTGACACTTAATAGGGGGTCCACCACAGCGTCACAGGAGGGTGATATGCAGCCCCTAGGTCAGCAATAAGGACCACTACCCTACTGAAATACATAATTGCAAAATTAGAGAAAAGCATCAAGATTTCAAAAATACTATTTCTCAGTGCAAGACTCTGAGTACCAGGATTTACACATAAATTCTAATCTGTGAAGAAAAAGATGGTGTGCAACTATTGATAATTCAGTCTGTACTGGTATGTAGTAGATCAGTTCCCTATCACAGTTATAATCCTGTACCTGTGACCAGCATAATTTATTAATATTCCAATGTAATGAATTGACATGGGATGGAATAATAGGCTTTTCCTTCCCTCCACACTAGAATTCTTTGCATTCTTTCATAGTATACACCTACCTCACCAGTGGCTTTCCTTTGTCCTCAGTGACATTAGAGATTCATTGTGTAAGGACTTTCATACTGTTGTGTGTTTTTTGCAGATATGAAGTAGTTTAAAGTGAAAAGGATATCTAAAATAAAAACAAACAAAAAAAATGTGAGCAGGCAGGCTCTTTATTGCAGAAAAGACATGCAATGTCTCTTTTGCAACAAATAAAACCTACCTGCCTGCTTGCAGTCTTCTTTAGAATGTAATTTGAAGTGTAACTGCAGCTCCGTTTACATTCTGACACCGTGCCTGTGTGTCTCAGTGACTGAACTCCTGAACACACGCTGAGAGTGACGTCATCCCGCAACAGCCAATTAAAATGGCTGAAAACTGTCATCCAGAAGATGCTAGTGAGGGACCTCACAGGCACTGGACCACTGAAGCAGAGGTAAGTATTGCGGATAGGGAGGCACTGCTACAGTATATCGGCTGCCAAAAATCATCGACCGAAAATAGGGTTATCAGCATTTTGCTGATAGAAAAAAAAGATGCTGATAAAGGCATATTGCATCCCATTGGCTTGATTGCACAATTGAGTCCCTTAGACTTCAATGAAAAATAACGTCCCCTAGACTTCAATGTAAAATCGCATCCTATTGACTGCAATGCAAATTGCATCCCATAGACTTCAATGCAAAATTGCGTCCCATAGACATCAATGCAAAATTGCATCCTATTGACTTCAATGCAAAATCGTGTCCTATTGACTTCAATGCAAAATTGCCTCCCATAGACATCAATGAAAAATCGCCTCCTATTGACTTCAATGCAAAAATGCCTCCCAAGTGACCTCAATGCAAAAACGCCAGCCACATTAATTCAATTTACATTTTTTATTATTTTTTTTTTTTTAAACTGTCCGTTTTGGTTTTGGTTTTCGGCCAAGTGCATCTTGGATTTTCAGTTTCGGCACCGGAATTTTCATTTCGGTGTACCTCTAATTGCAGACTTTAGTTCCACTTTAACCACCTCAATACCGGGCACTTTTACCCCCTTCCTGCCCAGGTCAATTTTCAGCTTTCAGCGCTGTCGCGCTTTAAATGACAATTGCACGGTCATGCAACACTGTACCCATATTAAATTTTTAGCATTTTTTTCAAACAAATATATTTCTTTTGGTCGTATTTAATCAACACTATTTTTTTATACTACAAACAAAAAAAGACCAAACATTTTGGAAAAAAAAGTGTTTTTTTTCTTTATTTCTGTTATAAAATTTTGCTAATAAATAATCTTTTCACAAAAATGTAGGGCAAAATGTATTCTACATTTCTTTGGTGAAAATAACCCAAATTAGTGTTTATTACTTAGTCTGTAGGAAAGTTATAGAGTCCACAAACTATGGTATATATCTGAAAATCAATAAATCCTGATCTGTATTGACAGACAATCTCATTTCTTGAGGCCCAAAAACGGCAAGAAAGCGCAGATATCCCCCAAATGTCCGCTTTTCAGAACGTAGACAGTCTGAGATATTTAGTAAGAGGCATGGCAAGTTTTTTGAAGTTGTAATTTTTTTTTCTCACAATTATTTGGAAAATGAAGAAATGAAATAAAATTTGGGGTTTGTTTCATCGTTATTTATTTTTGCTTTTTTTACATACTGTCACCAATGCAGTAGAGCGTCATCATATAACTGGTGTAGCGTTGATCAGGGACACTGACTGGTGACATTATGTAAAAAAAAAAAAATAATATTTTTTTAGATTTTTAGCTACCATAGTAACATTGTACTACTCTGGGCAACTGATCAAAAAATGTTTTTCTACAAATTATGATTGCTTATACCAGTGATTTTCACTGGTATAGGCAACCATATTTACTGAATGATTCATTTAGCAGTTATTGTCGTGATCAGCTGTGATTGGCCACAGCTGATCACATGGTACAGATGGGCTGTAATTGTTTGTATCATGTGATCACTGTGACCAATCACAGTTGTAAGAAATTTATGGCATGAAAGGAAGCCATTAATTGTTTACAACTGTCATGTGATCTGCTGTGATTGGTCACAGCAATCACATGACACTGGCAGAGGGCCAGTATAGTGAGCAGTCATCAGCTGTGTCCGGTGGACACAGCCAGTGACAGATTACGCCAGAGCACGAGGCAAGATCCTGGGAGGACATCATATGATGTCCTCCCAGGATCATAGGGATCCCACCCGGTCGTAATTTTACAATAGCAATATTACAAAAAGTGGAACTTTACCAAGAACAACTTATTAAAAAATCATGTTATTAACCTCCCTAGCGGTCTAATTATGTCCATATTTCTGTGCTCAAAGCGGTACATTGTTTTGCATGGAAATATGTTGTCTTTTTATTGTAAGCCTGTAATTTTTAGGAATAACTCACTGAAATCTGTCCGAACAAGAGTCTAGTAAACATCCCGGGTATGATAAAATTTGAAACACAAAATCATAAATGAATATAATAAATAATCATTAATAATAATAAAATAAAAATTAATTCCATAATATAATCAAACTAAAAACACTGAAATTTGAAATATAGCGCCAAGTTCGCACATCACTGAGCAAAGTCACAAAATCATTTTCAGTGTCTGATGACGAATTTCCCCACGAATCATTATCACTCAATTCTGGAAGTGTTTCTAATTTACTATCGCTGTTCTCTAGTTGGTCTAAAACCGCTTTTGACCTAAAGGAACGCTTTTTGGACACCATGGACGTTTCTCAGTTTCAAGGCAGAAAGAACAATAAAAATACAGGCAGGGCTCAGGACAAAGCACTCGGGACAAAATGTATGTGAAATGGTTTGATACAGTAATGTTATACTATGTGATTTTAGTGTATTTAGTGAAAGTAAATTTTTAACATTTTTGAATTTCCCGCCGGTTCCGTCCCCCGTACGTCCCAACGCTCGAACAGAATGAAACCTGGAAGACGGATGCCGGCATCGGTCGGAGGAGATGGCCGGGGATGCTGCAGGGGGGACATTGCGGGACCGCAGGATAAGGTGTGTGAAAGAGGGATCCCTGAGAAATGCTGCAGGGTATTCCCGAGTGTAGATCAGGGTTACTGCTTCTGGTACTGAAAGTTAACCCCGAGCTACACTGGGGAATACCGCCAGGGGGGTTAAACAAGAAACATACAGTTAGGTCCATATACTGTACATTCCACATTAATAATTCTGCTGCCAAAATTTGTGTGTGCTGTAATTTGCCTCGAACATTGTTCCTGTTTCTTCTTGCTGGAGGCTGCCATTTTACTGAAACCCAGAGGCCCTGAGCAGCATTAAATCTTTAGACTGTCAGCAGATCGGGCTCTACAAATTCAGTACCTAAAAACAGAGAGTGAATGACCATGTGCAGAGCAGGGAGAGACAGTGTATTACTGGATTTTAAACAGTATAAGCACTTTTTAATGTTTTACATAGCTGTACCTGCAAACGGGGCCAGTCTGCAGTGATCTAGAACTTCATTTTCTGACTAAAGTTCCACTTTAAAGTGACAGTTAAGTCTGGTTAAAAAAAACATCTATTCGAGTATTCTCAACTATAAAAAGTACCTTCTATTGATCTCAAACTTCTCCAAATCTCCAAATTTCCTACAGGGACAGTTGCTGTCCTCTCAATCGCCCCGACCTCACCCGCGACTTTCCAGAGTGTCCATGTGTGAGATTTGACAGTTGACAGTTACATTTAAAGACCAGCGGAACTTTCAGTTTAAATCGGCTGTTTAAATCATTCTAGGTACATCAAAACAAAATTTGTTCAACATTTTACATTTCCTTTTCTTTCTAAGAGCTATTCTCCACTGGCGGCACATGCTGAATGCTTACAAACCCTTGAACGACGCAACTCACATTTTCAAATAATTTTTATAATATGTGTGACCTCCTTACAGCTAAGTTCACACCTATACAGTTTGCATTTGATCCGTTTCTGCAGTGCGTTTTGCATTTTTGCACATGAGTTTTGTATGCGTTTTGCGGGACTTTTTTGTTTCTTCTTTTTTTCTCCAATTTGTTGCTGGGCAGATAAAAAAGCAAAATGCATCAAAAACACAAAAAAAACACAATGCATGCATTTCTGCCGCATCTCCATTAAAGCCTATTGAACCAAAAATGCAACATTTTGAGATTAAAAAAAGTACCTGACCTTTTCCAAAAAAATGCACCTGATGAAAAAGTGGAGATGTGAACCTGTCCCATAGGAAATCATGTTAAATAGACTGCTGTGCTTTTCTGCAAACTGCAACGGAAAATGCATAGGAAAGTTGCCTTACATTGCCACTCTTGAATGACACACTTGGCACCCCCCCCCCTACAACACTTTCGTTTCCATACTGTACTGTGCAGGATGGAAAAAGCCATCCTGTTTGAACCGAGCGGAGACAAGCCCTAAAGCAGCCACCCTGCCAGTTACTGCAGAGTAGGTCCCTTGCACTCTTTTTACACAATGCAGAGGATTAACCGTTTAGGTTCCACAGTGAGAATAACAAGCATTCTTTACTGCATATGCAGACTGATTTTACTGTTGAGGTTTAGTAACCCTTTAACTTTACACGTATATTAATTGAAGGGTAATAAATTATCGCAAATTATTTTATTTTTTGGACTGATTCAAACTAGATGCAGTCCAGTTTTTTTCTGCATCAAAAATGCATGCACAGTGTTTTCCATGTATTCCAATGACCCTAGTTCCCACCAGTGCAGTCAGCTACAGTACATTTCAGTGCAGAAAAAAATAGAACATACTGCATTTTTTCGCACAGAACTGTACTGGAACACAGCAAAGCGCATCAAAAATGCACTGGAACGGAGTGCGGTGTAAATTGTAAGCAAACATGCATCCGGAGTGCATTTTTGTAGTGTGAACTGACCCTTTAGGTAAATTTATTTCTTCTTCCTTTTTCTTTTTTTTTCCCACTGTACTGGAGTCCGGTTCATTTTTTTTAATGCATTTTTTATGTGTTCCAGGACAGTTCTGTGCAGGAAGAAATCAGCATGTTGTACTTTTTTTCTGGACCTGAAATGCACTGGATCTGTCTGCAATGGTATGAACTATGCCACTGGAACCCATGTAGCCTACTTTCCATGCATTTTTGAAGCAGAAAACCCCCTTAGGGCCCATTTGCACCATAACGTGTGTGATGAGCGCAGGTTAATGGATGTGCGTTACATTTCAGCACTTTGCACTCCCTGGAGCATGCAAAGGGTCCACAGCAGGGATGAGATCAGGTGTGTTGGGATTCTAGTCCGAGCCCTTCTGAGCTGTCCTGCCAGGAAGCCGTCACAGCAGACCGGCAATCATAGGCAGCCGAGGAATTCCCCGCTCCACAGTCGCATGTATACACACCCCTTGTATATGGGGAATGCCTCGGCCACTTCTATTCAGAGGGCTGCAGTGATGGTTTCCTGGTGAGATAAACAGACGGGTTCAGACTATGATCCTGGCACACCTGAGCTCATCCCTAGTCTATGGCATGGAAGAGGTGCCAAACTTGTGCTGGACTTCTGTTTTCCTGTGCACTGATGCGCAATGCACTGGCATATGTCAACCACATATCACGCAGATAAAAAGTAGGATTTGATGTATTTTTTTCCACCACAAACCAACACATATCAGCACATCGCACCAGTGTGAACCTCTCCCATTGGCTCGACTTATTTTTTACAGATCCTTGCATTCGCTGCATTTACAAAATATGGTAACGCCTCTGGAGTGAATGGATTGAATGCAATCTGCTCATTCCTGGCTTCACACAGTCTGGCACAGCAAGAAAACAAACTGCAACTACCATTCCAGCTGGGAGCCAATGATAGCCTATACAGCCAGGAATTCCATGGAGGAGCACACACAGCCTAGTACTGGCCTGGGGTGATGCAAGACGCCATATTACCCTCAGCTGGGGTCTAATACATTACTTATCCTTCTCCGGCTCCAAATCCCCCCACACCACCCTCTTACCCCGCTGGCCTGCTTCTTTTTTCCTTCGGTAAGGCTTCCTCTCCTGTACCAGGCCGCTTCGCTTCCCGTTACCCTGACAACGGGCCGGGCAGACACGTGACTCGATAGCACCAACCCTGGCTTCCCTATTTGCAGCGCGCTGAACCGAACTAAACGAGCGTTTCCGAAACTAGAACGAAGAGTTCCGGAACATACCGAACCCCGCTCGTGTTTTTCCGGAGAAAAAAAAGGCCCTCTGTAGTAAGGGATTATTACTTCCTGTAAATCAGAATGATTGTGTGGGAGATGCAAATAAACGTTCTATAGAAACGTCCACTGAAATATTTTCTGTCATTTATAAAGTATATATAAAGCACAAACATTTTGTTTAGTCTTGGAGAGGTTAGGGAATGTGTATAACAACCATGTTAGCGGGAAATAAAATACTAAAAAAGGTTCCTTTTTACAGAGGTGGCAGCCCAAATGTAAGGTCTCCCCTCTATTCCAGGCCCCTAGCCTCTGTCATTGTCCTCTGTTGTGCACTGTGTTCCTTCCTCAGGACCTGTACCTCAGCAATAATGTAGAAGAAAGCGCCATTATCCGCAACAGGGGACGCAGACCGGGGCGGACTGACAACTCATGGGGCCCCCGGACAACAGGGGATCATGGGGCCCCTGTGTCCTTGCCCAAACTCATAAAAGCCTATGAAAAAGGTACCAAGGGCATCTCATGGGGCCCCCTACTGACCCTGGGCACTTGGGCAGTGCCCGAGTTTCCAAATGGTCAGTCCGCCCCTGGCCGCAGACAACCAACGCTCCTAGTAATGTGCATTGCTGAAGACACCTCATCGCAGGAACGACAGGAAGGAGGACACATGCCGCCAGAGAGAGAAATATAATTTTTCTCTTACAGAAAACTTTATGATCAATTCTGTTTTAATTATTTATTGATCTTTGTGCCATGTCTTATTTCAGAGATTAACCTTCACTTCCTGTCCTGGGGACACAACAGGAAGTGAGAGGAAAGTTATGGGATGTACTTTTGTACACAGCTGTATAGGGGCCATACAGCACATAATCCCTCTCCTGGGACCCACAAATGCTGCATACAGCTGCCCATTGACATGAGTTAGAAGATGCAGCTGTATACAGCTTGTATAAAAGTCCGGCATGGGCAGCAGCTGTACACGACAGCTCCAGGTTCTAGGAGAGAGATTCTGCAGACTCTGCACGCGGTAAGGCCTCTGTACAGCTAGGTGCATGAAGCTTTAGGATGCGTTTACACCACTTGTGGTGCAGGAAATGTGCATTTCCGTGCGCGTTTCCTGCACCATTGTGGAGATTTCCCTTCACTTCCTGTCCCATAGCCTGCAAAGGAAGGGGATTTCTTGGGGACCCCCAGGTCACCAGAACTAGTGTCCCCTTTGGAAGATTTCCCCTCAGTTACTTTTCTGGGGACAGGTCAAAATTTGAGTTTTACTTTCACTTTCAGCCTGGGTCCACACTGATGCGGTGTGAAATATCGCATGTGATTCGCACAGGAACCGCACCGCATTCCTGTGCAAATCGCATGTGAATTCTGTGCGGTGCGATATGAGCCATACAAAAAGATGCAGGAATCTTTTATTGGTCTGCACTAGAATCGGATCGCATGGGTATTTACACCCATGCAATCTGATTCTGCACACCATACCGCGTTTTGTGAACCGATTTTGGGGTGTTGTTAACAGCGGTGCGAACGGGCTGCGATTGTGATGTGGTGCAGAATTCACACAGAAACTGCTGTGAATTCTGCAGCACATCAGTGTGAACCCAAGCTCAATAATAATGGTAAACAGGCCAAATAGAGAGGATGAATCTCACTTGTGGGGACACAGACAGCAATAAAAACTGACACAGCAGTCCATTTAAAATGATTTCCTATGTGACAGGTTTACATCTCCACGTTTTCACCCGGTGTGTTTTTTGGAAAGAGTTAGGGACTTTTTTAAATGCAAAACGTTGCGTTTTTTTGTCCTATAGACTTCAATGGAAACGTTGCAGAAAAGCATGTAGTGCGTTAATGATTCATTTTTGACGCATTTTTGCTGCATTTTTTGTGTTTTAATCTGCCCAGCAACACGGAAAAAAAAAGCAAAATGCATCAAAAAGTGGCAAAAACGCAAAAAGCACTGCAGATATAGATCAAACACAAACTGTATAAGTGTGAACCTAGCCTAAAGTGTTTGTAAAGGCTGAAGGTTTTTTACCTTCATGCATTCTATTCATAAAAGTAAAAAAAAACTTCTCTGTGCAGCGCCCCCCTAATACTCACCTAAGCCCCCTCTCGATCCAACGATGTGCACTGGAGTCTTGGCAATCTTGGGACTCCCTGTCCTCATTAGCTGAGACAGCAGCGGGAACCATTGACTCCCGCTGCTGTCAATCACAGCTAGTGAGCCAATGATGAGAGAGGGGGTGGGGAGGAGCTGCGACTGTGTGTGTGAATGGACACACGGAGCAGCGGCATGGGAGCATGCCTGCTCAGGTGCCCCCATAGCAAGCTGCTTGCTGTGGGGGCACCCGACAGGAGGGAGGGGCCAGGCGCACCGTGGGGGGACCCAAGAAGAGGAGGATCTGGGCTGATATGTGCAAAACCACTATACTCAGTAGGTAAGTATAACATGTTTTTTTTTTTTTTGTAATTATGCCTATAGTATTACTTTAATTGTTAATGGTACCCAAAAAGCATCTACCACCCGTGTGCACGTTGCAGCTGCAAAATGCATGGTACTGTAGTACTATGCTGTTTGGTGATGAGCGGTTTTAAAAGTCAGGTCTGCCATTCTTTTCTTGTGTTCCCATGCATTTTTCAGCCCATTGAAATGAACGGGCTGTTTCTATAGTGTGAACCGGCCCTAAGCCTGGGTTCACACTGATGTGCTGCGGCACATCGCATGTGATTCGCACAGGAACTGCACCGCATTCCTGTGCAAATCAAATGCAATTTCTGTGCAGTGCAATTTGAGCCATACATTTTGTATGGCTCAAATCACACAGTATCCGCAGAAACAAAATGCAGGAGACTTTTTTTGTCCGCATCAGAATCGGATCGCATGGCTGTTCACACCCATGCAATCTGATTATGCACATCGCACTGAGTTTTGAGAACTGATTTTGGGATGTTGTTAACTTAAAATACACACCTGCAGCGAATCGCATGAACGGGGTGTGATTATGATGCGATGCAGAAATCACACAGAAACCAGTGTGAACTCCGTACCGCATCAGTGTGAACCCGGGCTTAATGGTTGTTTTTGAGTTTAATACTGCTTTGAGATATACATGTAAATATGAGATCAGGATGCTTTTATTTTATTTTTTTTGTGGTATACGTGTACATATGTGATCGGGGAGTCTATTTTTATCTTTGTTATGGCATACATGGACATATATGATCAGGCAGTATATACTTGTACGTATGCGATATGGCTGTATATACTTGTACGTATGCGATCAGGGAGTATATACTTGGACGTATGCGATCATGTAGTATATACTTGTACGTATGCGATCAGGCAGTATATACTTGGACGTATGCGATCAGGCAGTATATATTTGGTCGCATGCGATCAGGCAGTATATACTTGGACGTATCTGATCAGGCAATATATACTTGGACGTATCTGATCAGGCAATATATACTTGGACGCATGCGATCACTTGGACGCATGCGATCAGGCAGTATATATTTGGACGTATGCGATCAGGCAGTATATATTTGGACGTATGCGATCAGGCAGTATATATTTGGACGTATGCGATCAGGCAGTATATATTTGGCAGTCAGGCAGTATATATTTGACATATGCGATCAGGCAGTATATACTTGGACATATGTGATCAGGAGGTAATTTTATTTTGTTTGTATACATGTATACCCTAAAAACTAATGATAACCGCAGTAACTAGCAGTGATCCCTGGAAATCAAGTAAGCAGGACACTCGTACGTTGGATAAATATCCTCCAATAAAACACGTTCCATCCCGAAAACTGGTCACAAAGTGGAAGTTGTCACAGTTTGAATGACAGCCAGCTTCCGGCACGCCCATCCACATCAATCAAATCTCTAACGTCCAATCGAATCCCGAGGGAGGGAAGCTGCTTGAGACAGACGAATTTACTTTTGAAACCTCGTCTTCCAGTGGATAATCTCCCTAGCCAATCCGTGCCCTCCTTTCGTTGCCCACTGACATCACTTGTCCCCTCCTTCTTCGCCCATGACTCTCAGCGCAGCTCTGGCGTTGAGATTTTCGATTGGCGATCCTACCGCAGGTGCCGCCTTTCCCGGTGATCAGACCAATCCTTGCATTTGTTTGGGTTGCGAGGGGCGTGACTTGTTTTGGCAGGCTGGCTTGGCGCGGGTTGTTGTCAGATGCGGACGCGGGCTGGAAAGAGGAAGGTCGGGAGCTGGGTTTGAAGAAGCTTTGGGCCGGGCCCAGTGAGATCGGATCTGGAATATTGTACCGTAGATGTCTGCAGAACTACAACAGGCGCTACCCGCATAGGCCTGAGGGTCTGGGCTGTCAGTTCTGGTCGTGCCGAGGATAGGGGAAGCTGCAGCAGGCCCTTCCATCATCCTGAATGCTGCAGGTAAGACCCGTGCCCCTCCTCTCATTACACTTGTATTGTCTTCAGCAACGTGGGCTGTCCTCACATTTGTAGAACTACCAAGTCCCAGCATGTGTGGCACTATAAATCCCAGCAGGCTGCTAGCAAAAGAAGACCTACCATGTGATCAGTGAACTCGGGCTGCAGCTGCCATTGCTGGCCCACTCCTATACCCAGAGGATGGGGGGGGGGGCATGCTTCCATATCATCTGCACAGCTGTCAGGGTGACAAATGCCATCCATCACACCTTCATGTCACTTGCCTGTCCCTGCTGCAGTGTGATCAGCAGTGCTGGACTCCACCTCCTGTCCTGTCACACCTGTGAGCATGCTGCAGCCTGTGTCCAGCAATGGTTTACTAACCAAATGGCATTCGGAAATAAAATGGAGGGGGGGTGATCAAACTTTAAATTCCTCCAATCAGTGTCACAAT